CAGGAGTTGGAGGTTGCTGTGAGCTGTGATGCCAAGGCACTCTACCCAGGGGGACAGCTTGAGGCTCTGTCTCAAAAAAAAAAGCCAGGCATTGTGGCGGGTGTCTGTGGTCCCAGCTACTTGGGAGGCAGAGGCAGGAGAATCGCTTGAGTCCAGGAGTTGGAGGTTGCTATGAGCTGTAATGCCAAGGCACTCTACCCAGGGCGACAGCTTGAGGCTCTGTCTCAAAAACAAACAAAGAAGCAAACAAAAAACAACGGCTAGGTGCAGTTGCTCACGCCTATAATCCTGGCACTCTGGGAGGCCAAGGCAGGAGGATTACTTGAGCTCAGGAGTTCAAGGTCAGCCTGAGCAACAGCAAGACCCCATCTCTGAAAAATAGCCAGGCATTGTAGTGGGCGCCTGTAGTCCTAGCTACTCGAGAGGCTGAGGGCAGGAGGATGGCTTGAGGCCAGGAGTTTGAGGTTGCTGTGAGCTAGGCTGAGGCCATGGTACTCTATTCTGGCAACAGAGTGAGACTTTGTCTCAAAACAAAACAAATTCAAAAAACAAGCAGAATTGCTAAACTGTGCTGGAGTTCTGGAAAAGACTCAAAGGTTTCTAGTAACCAAGTGTCCAATCAAGAAAAAGCCATCTTGGCTCACGCCTGTGGCTCAAGTGGCTAAGGCGTCAGCCACATACACCTAAGGTGGCGGGTTCAAATCTAGCCTGGGCCCGCCAAACAACAATGATGGCTGCAACCAAAAAAATGGCCGGGCATTGTGGCGGGCCCCTGTGGTCCCAGCTACTTGGAAAGCTGAGGCAAGAGAATCGCTTGAGCCCAGGAGTTGGAGGTTGCTGTGAGTGGTGATGCCATAGCACTCTACCAGGGTGACAGCTTGAGGCTCTGTCTCACAAAAAAGAAAAAGCCATCTTGGGCAGCACCTGTGGCTCAAGGAATAGGGTGCCAGCCCCATATACCGGAGGTAGTGGGGTCAAACCCAACCCCAGCCAAAAACTGCAAAAAAAATATTAAAAAAAAAAAGAAAAAGAAAGAAAAGCCCATCTTCAAAATGGGAGGAGATTTTTCCAGCATTTTCACTTTCACTTGCCCCACCTGGCACGGTGGCAGTCTTGGTCGGCCTGGAAGTAGCCAGCCAGTCCCCATCACACCTGGTATTCAGTAAGCATGCAGACATAGTTAGGCATAGCCATTCCCTCACTTGAACTGGACCTGTGTGGAGTGGAGACTTTCTTGGTAAATCGTTGGGTAAATATTTTATTTTTTTCTTTTTTGAGACAGAGTCTCAAGCTGTTGCCCTGGGTAAAGTGCTGTGGCATCATAGCTCACAGCAACCTCAAACTTGGGCTTAAGTGATCCTCTTGCCTCAGTTTTTTTTTTTTTTTAAATAGAGACAGGGTCTCGCTTTTTGCTCAGGCTGGTCTAGAACCCGTGAGCTCAAGCAATCCACCCGCCTCGGCCTCCCAGAGTGCTAGAATTATAGGTGTGAACGACCATGCCTGGCGGGGGGGGCAGTAAATACTTTCTATTTGTTCACCTGTTCTATTTTCCTTTCTTCTTGCCATCTGCTGAATTGACTATTGATTATTCTATTCCCCCTATTTGTTTTCCACTGCTAATGTGGAAAGAGCACACCTGGAGCAGGCATCCATGTGGGTGAATGTGTGGTCTGGGGACATGAAGATACTCACCAGACCACCCCACAGATGTGTCTTCTGGGAGGAATCAATCTTCTGAGGAGAACTATAGAGATGGTGCATACCCTTGGAAGACTGGCGAACATGACAGGACAAATGTTCTGTGTCTGTGTGACCTTTGCATTCAATCCCTGCTCCCCCAGCAGGGAGGGTAGCACAGTGGTTATGGTGCCAGCCACATACACCGAAGTTGGCAGGTTCAAACCCAGCCCTGGCCAGCTAAAACAATGACAACTGCGACAATAACAATAACAACAAGAAAATAGCTGAGCATTGTGGCGGACACCTGTAGTCCTAACTACTTGGGAGACTAAGGCAAGAGAATTGCTTAAGCCCAAGAGTTTGAGGTTGCTGTGACCTGTGACACCACAGCACTCTACTCTACTGAGGTCAACATAGTGGGACTCTGTCTCAAAAATAAAATAAAATATTAGTCTAATGTAAAATCTTTTACAAGATGCATACCTTAATACACTTTAACCTATATTCCAATTCACACAAACTCCCTCTTCCACTATTCCTCATGTGATGTTAAACTCATCCACTGACTTCTTTTTTTTTTTGAGACGGAGCCTCAAGCTATCCCCCTGGGTAGAGTGCCGTGGCATCACGCTCACAGCAACCTCCAACTCCTGGGCTCAAGCGAGTCTCCTGCCTCAGCCTCCCAAGTAGCTGGGACTACAGGCGCCCGCCACAACGCCCGGCCATTTTTTGGTTGCAGCCATCATTGTTGTTTGGCAGGCCCGGGCTGGGGATTCGAACCTGCCACCTTAGGTGTATGTGGCTGGCGCCTTAGCCGCTTGAGCCACAGGCGCCGAGCCATCCACTGACTTCTCAAAATGTTTTTTTTGTTTGGGATTCTTTGAGGGTACCAAGAATTAGGTTTACCCTGATTGCATTTGTTAGGTAAAATCTCTCTTAGAATTGTGTCCTGCCCCGAAAAGGTGTGCCATACACTGTGACCCCCTCCGCCCTCATCCCCTCTCCCTCATTCCCCTACTTCCCACTTTGTATTAGATCATCTACTGCCTTCATATTAGAACTGAGTACATTGGATTCTTGCTTCTCCATTTGACTTCTCAAATTTTGTTATCTGTCTCAGGTCTATCACTTCTACTTGGTTCTTTTTCAACCTATTTTCAAAGTTTTAAATTTCTTACTCACTGTTAATCATTTTTCTGTCCAGGATCATAGCAAAATAACTATTTTACGTTGATGTCTGATCATTCTAACATGAGCAGTCTGTGTGTATCTGTTATCTCTTATTTTTCCTGAGTCGTACACATGTTGTCTTGATTCAGGATGCCTTTAGTTAGATCAGGGATACTATTGTAATCAGATTCACTTTAGATAGGCTTGGTCTGGGACTGATTACCAGTAGGTAATGACGCATTTCTGTACTTTTAGCCCATTCCCAGCCAGCTCTATAGGCCTGCTTTTTTATCTGCAAAATGAGATGATAATCATGTTTCAATCATATGGTCTTCATTAAGTCAGTGACAACTTCTGGGTTCCTAGATCCAGTCATACCTGAAACTAGTATTTGTTTTTTGCTTAAGTCAGGATGAACTGGGTTCCTCACAGCAACTACCTTGACTGGGAGGTTTGTGGGTGGCAACGCTGGGGCTGAGTGGCCCTGAGTGTCTTGCCAGAGCCAATGCAAAGGCAGCAGACTGGGCAGAGGGATATGGGCCCTCAGGTGCCACTGAATAGGATTCCCCCCTTAAGTATGCAAGATTGGGTGGCCTGTGTATGTCCAGATACCACACATCCATGTTATTCCACCCCACAGCTGTTCCTTTAGGGGCTTTGTTTCTCAGAATTAATAGTTGGCTCCTCTGGGAGGGGTCTGGTGGGAGATGCTTAGTGCTTAAATGGCCTCTTTTTCTCACACTATGCTTCTCTGTTCAGTATCCAGCATCCTGGGGTAGGTGCTCCATCTCACTTTTCTCTGGGGTGAGGCTGGAGGGACCCTCCCTGCTGGGGGAGCAGGGATGGAATGCAGAGGTCACAGACACAGAACATTTGTCCTGTCATGTTCGCTGATCTTCCAAGGGTATGCACCATCTCTATAGTTCTCCTCAGAACACTCATTCTTCCCAGAAGACACAACTGGGGATCTGTTTTTTTGTTTTGTTTTGAGACAGAGCCTCACGCTGTCCCCCTGGGTAGAGTGCCATGGCATCACAGCTCACAGCAACCTCCAACTCCTGGGCTCAAGCGATTCTCCTGCCTCCACCGCCCAAGTAGCTGGGATTACAGGCGCCTGCCACAACGCCCGGCTATTTTTTGGTTGCAGCTGTCATTGTTGTTTGGCAGGCCCGGGCTGGATTCAAACCCACCAGCTCAGGTGTACGTGGCCAGCGCCTTAGCCACTTGAGCCACAGGTGCCGAGACACAACTGGGAATCTGTGCGGTAGTCTGGTATCTTCATGTCCCCAGACCACACATTCGCCCACACGGATGCCTGCTCCAGGTGTGCCCTTTCCACATTAGCAGTAGTGCAGCTCATGGCCACAGAAAGCTTTGCAGTCCCGGGTCCAGAGAGGCAAAACACCCCTCTCTAGCAACTGACTTCAGTGTAATGCATGAGATACACTGATCTCCTGACGGAACCCTAGCAATTCCTTAACCTCAGGTTTCCCCATCTGAAACTGGAGATGACAACTCCCACATGAGATTGCTTGTGAAGATTATTGAGTCAGTATTTGTAAAATGCTTTAGAAAAAACTTAGCACATAGCTGGTGCTTGGAATAGTGCTTGGCACCCAGATGGTGATTCAAAAGCACTTAGAATAGCAGCACCTGGCACATAGTTAGTGCTCAGAAAGCACTCAGAGCAGCATCCATCACACACCTGGCATTCAATCAGCACACAGAACATAGGCATAAACTGGTGCTTAGTTAAGTACGCAAGAAATAAAAACCCACACTGCTCAGTGAGGACCAGACTGGCACTTTATATACACACACAGCGGAAGGGACAGTGTCTCAATAAGAAAATACACTCTGAGTTCAGGTAAACCCCCATATTCACCCACGCAGAACACTCCAAGCTGAGCAGAGGGAAGGGGACGACCATAAAGACTAGGAGGGAAGGTTTCTGCTCTAAGAGGCAAACACAGGCGGGGAGCACACTGCCGGGAGAAGATAGGACCTTTTCTTCCCGGGATAGAGCAATGCAGCGGCACAGGAGAACAGTAGCCACAACTAAGCCTGTAACACCTGAAGGGGGGCTCCTGACACAGATAAGAGAATGGGGTTGAACACAAGAAGCAGGATAGTGGAGAGGGCTTCCTTCCCTGGGGTAGGACCCAGGGCCCCTTAGTTAACATCCATAAACTCAGAGCTGGGTGGGGAACTGCAGGCAGGGGAGGTTGGGGGGCTAGATGAGCCAGACTGGGACTGCGGGCGTCGTGCCACATCCTGGCGTTGGTAGAAGAGCACGTATGCTGCCTTGGACTGTAGGGAGAGGACAGGAATCAGTGTGGGTTCCAAGGAAGGGGTGGAATCAGGAGAAGGGGAGAGAGAAAGGGAGAAAGGAGGATGAAAGTGGCACCTCAATCTGATTCTCATTCACAGGGGAAACGCTGTTGTCATCAAAGTAGTGCCACTGGCCGCTGTCCTTGTTGCAGGCAAATGTTGTGTCTGAAAGGGAGAGGACATGATCTTAACCCATGCTCCTGCTCCTAAGAGATGTCCAGCCAGATCCACTCTCTCACTCCTCCTATGCTGACAACCTTGCCACTGGCTCATATGCCTTGTCACCTTCTAGGGATGTCCTGACCTCCCAGCTCAGACCCCCATCCCTCCAAGGGCATGCCCCTGCCCACTGCCTGGCACATACAGTGTCCATCACGCATGCCCCCATAGTGGTTGGAAACTGCGATGAGATCGTATTTGTAGAGCTCTGGAGCGGACTCGTTCTGTGGTTTGAGGACAAACTCAGAGAAGTCCAGGTCCCTGTGGTGCAAGAGAGGGTTAATACTGGTACCCACCTCCCACCCCCCACCACTGCCATCCTCAGCCATTCCCCCCCTGGCCCCTGACCGGATAGGAAACTGCACAAGGGTATCCAGCTTCTCTCGGGAAAACTTGGTGTAGGAAAAGCGTTTCAGGTGGATGATAAGAATCTCAGGCAGCATCCACAGGTCCAGCTTCTTGGTGGCCAACTGGTGCTGCTTGCAGGAGGGGCAGTACCTACGGACAAGATGGAGTCAGCAGACATTTCCCGGGAACCCACTGCACACCCTCTGTACTGCTGGGCTTTTATGTACTGTGTGGCCCATAGAGACGCTGCTCTTACCATTAGTCTGCCCAGTGCTCTAGCTCGCTCTGTTCCCGTTAAAATCATTTCACTCAACAAGTATTTAGTGATTGCCTTTTATATATGCTTTCAAACTATTTTATATTTTTGTTTGATTTCTGGCCTATGAGCTGCTATCTTATTTTAGAGTATGCCTCTATCCCTATAGTTTCCTCTCTTCCTATTTCAGTCACTGATTCATTCACCAGGTATTTACTGCTTGCCTACTGTTTAATCCCGCTGTACTATTTTGTATTTCTGTTCCACTTCTGCTCCATGAAGATGCTGCTCTTATTTTTGAGACTGGCTTTATGGTTTTGGCTCTCTCTTCTGGCTTATTCTGCAAGTGTCTACTGAGCATCTATTGAATATCCAATACTACTTTAAGCAGTGAAAAGCTATACACAGTGAGCCTAAAAGTCTTCGCCCTCAAGGAGTTTACTCTCTAATGGAGATAACAGCACAGAAGGGGATACAGGACATTACATCAAGTGGCATCAGAGCTATAAAGAGAGGAATGCTCAGCTAAGAAGAAAAGAACATGGAGAAGATGAAGAGATGATATTGGTGGGGGGGATGACTTTTAACAGGGTAGTCAAAGTAGGTCTCCCTGATGAGGTCATGTTTTATTGTAGAATTGAGCAAAGGAGCAAAGAAGTCTGTAGATACCTGGGGGAAGAACATTCCTGAGAGAAGGAACAGCCCAGGCAAAGGCCCTATGGTGAGAGTATGCTTGAGTGTTGGAGGCCAGGGTGGCAGGAAGGGTTGGAGCACAGAGGACAGTGGAAGGAGAAAGAGCTAACAGGGGATCAGGCAGGTAATGCTACCCAGTGAAAGCCCCACAGGCCCCGTTCTGGCCCCTCACCAGGGGTTTTCCTTCTCCAGGGTCTCCACAGTGGTGAAGAGCTCAATGCACTCCTGCAGCTGTACTGGAGCTTTCTTTAGCACGTACCCAACGCATTCATGCTTCACGTAGCCCTGGGGTTGGGTGAACAGATGGCCAGAAGGTCGGGTATGAGTAGGGGTGGAGAAATGAGAAGTGGGGGTGGGAGACATGCTGAGTGAGTCAGAGCGCACAGACTCTGAAGTTAGGAACCTGAGGCCCTGGAGCTCTCAGCGGGTGTTCAGGTTCCAAGGCCAGGCAAGACCTAGACCTGGATCTCTGGGCTCTGCTCCCAGCTGAAGGAGTTGTGGGGAAGATGAGCAAAGAGTTGAAGGGCAAGACCGGAAAGTGCCCCCCTCCCTGGGATCTTGTTTACCTCAGCCTCTGCCTCATCATAGTAACGCTTCTTCATCTCTGGCTCCCAGTCGATGGCAATGTATGGCTGAGCTGGGAGTAAGGGGGAGGCAAGTGGTCATGGGTCCTGCTGCTGCTAGGAAACCTATCTCCCACCTCCCACCCTGGCTCCCAACCAAAGAAGATACTTTGGACTTCTTCAGGGGAGGTCGTGCGGTCGCTGGTCCCATTAGAGTTCACTGTCTGCAGGGTGAACAGTTGTTTGCGTCGTCGCCTTGGAGGCCACTGAGATGTGCCAAGGCAGTTGTCCAAGAGGAATGGGCACCTCCTTGTGACCCCAGAGCTGGGCCCAGGCTGTTCTGGCTCAGGGTCTCGGAGGCTGCCCCCAGTTGAAGGTCCAGGGATGTTGTCTTTATCCTCCTCATCATCATCTGCTACAACAGGGAAGATGTCAGAGGTGGGAAGATGTGACTCCAAAGGGCTGAGCTGCAACACACACCTACACGAACACTGTGTGGGCCAGACTTATCCCAGCTCCCAACCCACTGACCCTCAGCCCCTCACTCCCACTCAGGCCGGGGGGCCACTTGTACAGACCCTCATCATCTTTGTTAACCCTCTTTCCCTCCTCTCCCTCACCTTTCTCATCCACATCGTCCTCATCATCTGAGCTAGGTTTGGTCACGTAGCGTCTGCAACAGAGCAGAGGAGACTCCCAAGGCAGGGGCACAAGGACAATAGAAACAGGGCCCAAGATTTTACTCTGGTGATGATGGGAAGCCACTGGTAAACCCACACATAAAACATTCTTAATTATGGGCCTGAGTTCTGAGGGGGTGACATGTAAATGCATAAATAGGCCAAGGCTGTGAGCAGGGGCCTCAGAATGCAGACTCGTGTGCCAGTCAAGAGTGTGGAATTTGGCTCGGCACCTGTGGCTCAAGTGGCTAAGGCGCCAGCCACATACACCTAAGGTGGCGGGTTCGAATCCAGCCCAGACCCGCCAAACAACGATGGCTGCAACCAAAAAAAATAGCCTGGCATTGTGGCGGGCGCCTGTGGTCCCAGCTACTTGGGAGGCAGAGGCAGGAGACTCGCTTGAGCCCAGGAGTTGAACACGTAACCAGCTATAAATGCCCTTAGGGAAGACCTCTGAGGAGTGAACTATACAGTATAAAATGAGGGAGGAGAGACTAATCCAGACAAGGTGCTGCTTTGTCTGCCATGGTAAGGACTCTGAATTTGGGGTACAATGAAGATCTACTGGCAAAAGAACAAATAACCAAGTCTCTCCCAGGAGGAGACAAGTGAATAAACGGCAAAGTTGCATGTGTTTGGTTTGTCTTGTTCACCTCTGTGTCCAGCACCTAAGAGATGCAGTAGCAAAGCCACAGGTTGAGAGAAAAGTAAACCCTGTATGTTCTTCTATGGCCAAAATAAGTTCAAATTATCTTTCAGATGTTAAAGGGGAGATGCCAAATAAGCAGCTAAACACCCAGCTCTGAGTTCATACCCCTTCCCCCAGTCCCTGGAAAAGGGACACTTACGAGAGCCGGTACATTAAGATGTTATACAGGCCCTCCCAGGTGAACCGGTCCCGAGGCACGGACACCAGGAGCGGGTGCCCAAAAAGCATCAAGCCATAGTAGGAATTGTTGTAGTCACGGGCAGGAGTGCGCTCCCGCAGGTAGACAGGAACCACAATATCCTCTCTCGAGCCCTCGAGGGGCTCCAATCGTCCTGATACCTCATACCTGTGGGGGTAAATAACAGGTCATACCTAATCAGGGCCTCCCCAGGACAACTCCCTGACTCTGCCTCAGTGGCTTCATCCACTCACCCCTTACCACCTGAAAATATTTTTGAAAGAGTCTGAAAAGGTGGCTCATGCCAGTAATCCCAGCACTTGGGAGACCAAGGCAGGTGGATTGCCTAAGCTCAGGAGTTTGAGACCAGCCTGAGTGAGAGTGAAACCTTTTGTCTCTAAAATAAAATAGCCAGGTGTTGGTGTTGGGTGCCTGTAGTCCCAGCTACCTGGGAGGCTAAGGCAAGATAATTACTTAAGCCCAAGAGTTTGAAGTTGCTGTAAGCTGTGACTTCATGGCATTCTACCAAGGGTGACAAAATGAGACTCTGTCTCAAAAAAAAGGGCGGGGGCAGCACCTGTAGCTCGGTGGGCAGGGAGCTGGCCATACATCAACGGTGGCAGGTTCAAACCTGGCCCGGGCCAGCTAAAGTAACAATGACAACTGTTAACAACAACAAAAAAACAGGCGGGCATTGTGGCAGGCGCCTGTAGTTCCAGCTACTTGTGAGGCTGAGGAATCTCTTAAGCCCAAGAGTTTGAAGTTGCTGTGAGCTGTGACACTACAGCACTCTTACCCAGGGCAACAGCTTGAGACGCTCTCAAAAAAAAAAAATAAAATAAAAAGGGGGGGTCTGAAAAGCTACCAAATGTTCTCTGCCTTCCAAACTGTTAAATGATTTGCACAGCACTTTATGTGCTATTTTTTATAAAGTACTTTGGTGTTATCAGAGTGTTGAGAGGGTTAAAAATTTTTAGTGACAAAGGGATTTAAAAAACGTTTTCTTTTTGGAAGACATTGCTTTGTTTATAAATACCTCTTCTATTCTTAAGTCACTATTTCAGTTGTTTTTTTTTTTTTTTTGAGACAGAGTCTTACTATGTCACCCTCAGTAGAGTGCCATGGCATCACAGCTCACAGCAACCTCCAACTCTTGGGCTTAAGCAATTCTCTTGCCTCAGCCTCCCAAGTAGCTGGGACTACAGGCACCCACCACGACACCCACCTGGCTATTTTTTTGTTGTTGTAGTTGTCATTGTTGATTAGCAGGCCTGGGCCGGGTTTGAACCCACCAGCCCTGGTGTATGTGGCCATATACATATGGCTCTAGCTGCTGAGCCATATTTCAGTTCTTAGTTACCCAAAGATTTAACAAGTTTGCTGAATGTTCCTATGTTCACAAAGTGTCTTAGCATTTTGTATTAAAAAAATCTTTTTGTTTTTGAGAACTGCAATACAGGGAGGAGTTGAGCTTAGTATTTGGTACACAGAAGGGGCCTAGTAAGTGTTGAATGAGGTAAATAAGAAACAGTAGCCTCCCTCTGGTAATAAGGAAGGAAATGCTCAAGGACACCATGTCTAAGGCTCTGTCACCTCACCCATTGACAATGCCAAGCCCCTTGCCCTGCCAAGGCACATGGCTGAAGCTCTGCACAGGACAGGTGCCCAGTGGATGAGGCAGAGGAGGCAGGCCCATACAAAAGAAGTGTACCAGGTTCCTGAGGAACCACCATCTCCTCTTGGGTCCCCTCACTCACACGAAGATATCATCGCGGTCTAAGATGCCGCTCAGAGATTCCTCCAGCTGGTAGAGCTTATAGAAGCGGTGACTGAAGACATCAGCCACCATCATCTGGGAAGAGGATGCAGACAGGGGGTTTGTCAGTCTGTAAGCTCTCCCCAGCCCCTCTGCCTCCTTGCCCCTGAATCCTGCCCACTCCCCCGGTCCACATAGTCTCACCCTCTCTGGAGAGATACCCGTGTGTTTGGACAGAGCCACACACAGATCCGAAATTTTGCCTTTCTTGGGGACCACAAGCCGGTGCTAAGGGAGAAACAGCATCCATAAAAAGTCAGAAGAGCTTGCAGAGCGTCAATGCAGGAAACCTTGAAGTGTGGCAGAGTAATTCGACTCTGACTACGTGTTCCTCATTATGTCCCCATTCCCCTCATACCTGCTCTGGCTTGCGGCGGGGATCCATGGGAATAAAGAAGACCTCCAAGACCCTCTTGTGGCTGACAGGCAGTGGGACACTGAGGTAGCAGAAGGGGTCGAAGGTCACAGACACATTGCCACAATCAGGACACACCAGCGTGGACTTGAAGAGACCATGGAAAGTGTCCACGATCACAGAATCATTCCGCCGTTTGTGGTTTTGCCAAGCCTCCTGAGCCACCTCCTGTTAACAGTGTCATGGTGATGGTGGGGCTTGCTTGGGGCAGGGGTAACTATGGTCTGGGGTGGTTTTGTACAGAGTTAAGTCCAGAGACAGAGTTACAGCTAGGGAGACTAAATTCACTATGGGACAGGGGTTTATGTGGGTAGGACACTGCCAGGGCTCACCAGGTTGGGTGTGGGGGCAAATGTACTAGAACTAAGGTTGGACTGAGGGTGGAAGTGAGGTCATGGTAGAGGAACTGAACAGAAAATGGGGTGGAGGATACCCCAGGGAGGCCAGAGAACCCCTGAGTTCTCGGTGGTTTTAGTAGGGCACTCAGGAAGGGATCCCTGGGAGCAGCCCACCTGATCTGGCCGCCCTGCGGCATCACACAGCTCCACATACTCCTTCTTCTTGACCCGATTGAGGTCCTCATGCAGCCCATCCAGGAGAAATGACAGCAGCTCCTGCGAGTCATGCTGCTGATAGCCCAGAAACTGGGACGCAAAATGGCCAACCTTGGTCTGAGAAGATGGGCAGGGCCATCAGAATGAGAGAGTTAGGCAAACCAAGAGGAGTAGGGGTTGGAGGAGTACTCAGGGTTGATTCACACCTTAAACACATGGGGCACGATGGAGCGGTGGTGCCCAGACCACGCCTGCTTCACCAGGTCCGCATAGGCCTCTGCGATCTCACCCTTCATGCCCAGTGGGTTACGGAAGTTCAGCTCCTCCAGGTAGCGATTGTTGAGGAAATACTCAGTGAGCTGTGGCACGTTGCTGAGGCACTGCATGGGGCAGGGGCCAGGTGAATGGGACAGAGGACAAAGATGGCAAAAGAGAAAAGGAAGCGAGGAGAGAAGAGAAAGTAAAATGGGGGAAAGGGAGAGGCAGGAGAAAAAGGATCAGGAGAGTGGGGAAGAGACAATATTAGTATTTCATAAGAAGAAAGAATGTGGTAGCAAAGGAGAGAAGAGGGAGAGTGAGGATAAGCATAGGGAGAAGGTACAGGCAGTCCTTGGGTTACGAACGAGACAAGTTCCGTAGTTTTGTTCTTAAGTTGTATTTGTATGTAAGTTGGAACAGGTACATTTACCTATTACCTGTAATAGACTCCCTTCGTAAGTGCGAGTTGTACGTCAGTCGGATGTTTGTAACTCAGGGACTGCCTGTATTGATATTGCAGGAATGAATGTGGGCATGTCATTTCAGACTTGTGGGGCCTTAGCTTTCAGCCCAACCCCTTGCACTGCAGTTCTCCCAGGTCCCGTGGGTGTGTCCCCAATCCCCAGCTCTTGCAGCCCACCCCTGCATCTGTGCCAGACACAGCTCGAATGGCCCAACCTGCAGAGCCGAGTTCATGAAGCACGTGTTGCCCAGATTGGTGAGGCCACAGATGCCCGGCTGGCCCTTGAAATCCTCGTCCTCTTCTGACACATTGTTGTTCCTAGGGTTGGATGAGAAACCATCAGCTGAGGGCCTACTACTCATGAGTATGATGTGCTCATGGGCTGTCATTTTGCCTACTGTGGGATGCCCCCACTCTGAACCAGACACCCCAAGGGCTCACATGGCATGCAGCTGTGCGCTGGGCCAAGTGCCATCTTTGTTTCGAGTCTCCATGACGACCAACTGGGTTGGAGGAAGAGAAAGAAGAGAAGGAAAGGCATTATTGGAGGGCCTTATGGGCACCTAGCCTTCACTTCTCCCAACCTGAATATTGCCAGGTGAGTCTATCTGCTGGTCTGCCTGAGCAAAAAAGCTCTTCCCACCCTCACCTGCCCAGTCTCCAGGGCGGCCTCAAGCACTGTGACGTGTGTGTCACACAACCGATCCAAAGATCCTTCCGAGTTCTTGATCCAAAGCCGTGTCTCTTCCTGAGGGTCCACCAGAAACTGCTCCCGAGCTGTGCGCAATACTAGGTCTGTGGAGAGTGAGGGAGCACATTCCAGGTCTTCCTGAGACTCAAAATGACAGACCCATCTTGGCATCCCTGACTCATCCCCACATACCTTACATACTTGGTTGATATTTATGTTCCCAATCAATCTTCAAATGACTGACCCACACTCAGTACTTGAGCCCCGCAATAAACAACCTCTGCCATACCATGCAAGCCACTGGAATGTAGCTCACATATACCCTCAGTGCATACAATTTGGCCAATGCCTTCTTGGTCCTCCAAAGTCTGACCAGTGCCTTCTCAGTCAGCCACAGCCCAATCCCATGCATACTTAAGCCACTGAGTAGTGACCTGTAGCTCGGAATACCCAACTCATCCATGATTGTCATCGACTCACCAAGTGAATCTGTGTGGCTGAATTGAGCAGTGTGAGCTGTGTCCATATCACTGTGCTGGACAAGCAGCAGTTCTACTGGGTATACTTCGACCATCAGGGTGCTGGGCAGCTCTATGACCTGTACAGGTAGACAGGTGCATACACAGGTATACTCACACAGATACAGGCACTGTGACCTCTGAGATTAGAGCACACACATTGGCTTACACACAAAGCATACAAAACCACACATATAATGATCTGTGAAAAGAGCCACACAGGTGCACACATGGTGGAAACATAAGGTACCTGTATAATGAGCTATGAGCGGGGAAGAGCACAAACACAGATAAATCTACCCAGTATACATGGATCTGGACCCATCCTGGGCCTACAAAGCTTTCCTCCTACCCAATGTCACCCAACCACTCATAGAATCTACATTACCCACCACCTTCCCCACCCACAATACCTTGCGTTCAATGGGTGGCTGGCCATGTTCTAGGCCATACCAGCTGACCAGATAATGCCAAGCAATTGCTGGGAGCAGCACATAATCCTTGCCTTCTTCCAGTCCCTCCTTGAGGCGCCAGCTTATCTGATCTGTGGGGAGGGGGCGGGAGTGGCAGAGGAAGAATCAGGGAAGGCAACTGATGAGTAACTCTGACCATCTCCCCAATAACCTGGCGTGGACAATAGACTTGTGATCATTTGTAGGGACAGAGGAGACAAGAACTTCAGGGCTAGGTTGATGTGGGGAGGTAGAGGCCCAGTACCTTCAAAGAGCTCAGCATTGTTGATGTAGCCAGGGAAGGTGCTGGAATCCTGGTCCCCTCCCTGCACATACACTTCCCACTGTTTATACCAGTGCTGGTCCACAAGGAACCTAGGGCCCAGACAGGTGACACATGTGTTACATGGTTATCTGAGACTAAATGTACCAACATATTATAATTTAAGATGAAAATGTTTTAGCATCATATAAAAGTAAATAATTAGAAGCAAAATTTATTCATAGAAACTCAGATTTGTATATTAGATTACCCAAAGATACTTGATTAAAAACAGAAAATGTACTCAACAATGGCAAAAAAAACACAAAAAAACCCATACCCATAGTGCTAGGACACACGAGCTTTTATTACAGAATAAAAAGAATTATTCATGCTAGTCTATGAGATGACAGTTAAATTAGGCTCTGGTTATCTGTTATCTACAGCTAATATTATAAGGGTAAAGCCATTCACCCTTTAAGCTAAGCACGCACCATTTCTAAAGGATCTTTCTTCTTTTTTTTTTTGAGACAGAGCCTCAAGCTGTCCCCCTGGGCAGAATGCCATGGCATCACAGCTCACAGCAACCTCCAACTCCTGGGCTCAA